TATATATATATATATTTTATGTTACTTCATTTCTGAGACATATTTTTCTTAACATATATTTAGTTGCTTGCTTCTGTACCCTTTCTCAAACTCATATGTTGTATTTTTTCAATGTGGTAGCCAAAATTACATTAACAAATGAACAAAAAATTATTTATTTACAGGGCCTGCCCCCTAGTCTGTGGCAAAACAGACTAACATGATAGCCAATGAGTGTGACTAGTGCTATCACAGTAGACAAAACATGATACATGTGCCATATGCACCCAACGGCCTGTGCTTGCTTTCCATATTATGTCAGAATTATAGCAAAGCCTCAAACCTATGACCTTCTATACAGGGCGCGTAAAATACTACAGAAAAGCATCATAAACCTTTAAACTTGAACTGGGCCAGGCGGTCTACCTTTTGAAAAATAGTCACTGTGATTCATGGATCAGCTAAACAAAATTGTTCCAAAAAAGCATTTTTGATTTTTTTTGCAGAAGTATCTTGATGAATCTTATTAAATATTTGGAAAAACCACATAGGCTTGAGATAAATTATCAATGGAACATTCAATATTAGAGGCCTTTTCAAAGAAATTTGTATTTTGCAGAGCAGATAGAGAAAATTAAATTCACGGTCCTCATATTCATAGAGACTGTACAACAAACTTGGTGGAAACTGAACCACCCTACAGTTGATCCATATGCATCGAAATAGTCTTGGGTCTCAGGAAGAGACAAAGCATACACATGCCCATGGCCATGGGGGGTGGGGATTGGGAAATTACATCCCTTATTCTATGATGATATTAGACTTATAGAGAAGTGTGGGAAGTCCAAGCTGAAGCTGAAAACTAGCATGACACAGGTAAGGTCCACATGTAGGCTGAGTCTACTGTGAAAAGACCAGTTGGTTGATTTTGTACCCCTCGTCAAAAGTTCCCAGACCACTCCTGATCCTAAAGGCACCTTTCACATGGGCAGTCCAATCAGGTCCGTCTGTCAATTTTTCAGGCGGACCTGATTGGATGCCCAATGCTGGTCTATGGACAGCCATGTGTAAACGGACAGGTGTCCGTTTACACCACGTTACCCTGGACAGGTCTCAAAAAAAACAAAAGATCAGAGATCCGTTTCACCTGACCTGATTTACCAGATCGGGGATAGTCTGGTGTAAACGGACATCCGATTCCCCATAGACCGACATGGGGCCCAGTCATTTCAGTTTTTGAAAAAAATGGATGGACACAGGTATATGACAGCGTTGACATCCAATCCATACCGCACCGTGTAAAGTGTTAGAATCAGTACACATTCTTTTTTCTTCATTTGCATTCATTATTATTATTATTGCTATTGAAATAATTATGCACTAATCTATTTTAGGGTTGAGTTGGGCATGTTCTTAGCTGGTTTTGTTCTTCTTGTTGTTTTTAAGCCACTTGTTTTGCTTTTTCATTGTAAAGTGTCAGTACAGTTCTTCACTCATATAGAGACTACTAGTATAGTACATACAAAATATTGGATAGATAGATAGATAGATAGATAGATAGATAGATAGATAGATAGATAGATAGATAGATAGATAGATAATTAGTATATATGCACTGGAAATCTATAATTAATGCAATGCAAACATAAATGCATTTTGAAAATCAACAATTTCACTAGATAAAGATAACCAGTTCATTTCCATATTTTAGAATGCCTGTTTTATATGTCTTTAACATAACTCTGTATTATAAACATTGCTCAAAAAGCATAGATCACATATATATAAATTAACAAATACAATTCCAATTTGTAACGACACAACCATTTGATTTAATTGCATTATCTGTTCCTATAGCGTAATCTACTGTTATCTGCTTACCTCCATAGCAGACCTTTCATTCAATCATTTAACCTGTTTGCTAAGTTCTCATTTTATGTGCTTGTTCTTCATAAATGTACTTTATTATTTTGCAGCTTAGCCTGCCATCTGTTGGCGTTATAAAATGCTTGCATGCTCTAAAAAAATTTGTATAAAAATAACTTGCAAAACTGTGCCCATACTTTGAGTGGCAGAAAAATGTAGAACCTGGTGGTGTTGGAAAACAGCAGTTTGAGAACATGGTTCTGTCAGTTTAGAACACAAGACAGGTAAGATGACACCTGTGTCTTTGTTAGAACACTTCAGTACATTAGCAGATTTGAATACTACTGGACAAGTTCAATATTTCACCTGGATTGTGGATGTTGTGGTTATATGCAATGTGCCTGGCTTCCAGGTCTGTTGAAACTCTTACATGTTCTCCAAAGCAAACATTATAAATTAAGATAAGAAATTGACCTCAAATGAACTGTATACTATACATCCACATACACACACATATGTGCCCCTTTATTTTGGAATTTAAAGATGAATTTCAGCATTACTTTCTGTCTTTCATGGATCTACAGGCTTCTCCCTGCTACTGAAATTGCTTACTATCATTTCAATGCAGACTTTGTACTTCTCACAGTATTCATAAGAAGCTTCAGCAAGTTAAATAGAACCTGCCTGATTTCATGGTTGGAGGACATCTAGCACCCTCTATCTCTTTCCTCCCGAGTCTAACTCCTAACGCATGCCCCTTTCATTTGTAGGATTTCAGCTCTTTCAATCAAGGAAGCTCAGTATCACACTTGGGCATTACCCAGTAGTGTAGAGTAGTCTGCAGGCAAATGCTGTCAACCTAGAAGAGCCCACTCCTCCAGACTGACATCCACCTATCAAGTCATCCAGCCTAAGGGCAGATTACTACTAGCACCCTTATTTCTTTCCTCCCGAGTCTAACTCCTAACACCTGCCCCTTTCATTTGTAGGATTTCAGCTCTTTCAATCAAGGAAGCTCAGTATCACACTTGGGCATTACCCAATAGTGTAGAGTAGTCTGCAGGCAAATGCTGTCAACCTAGGAGAGCCCACTCCTCCAGACTGACATCCACCCATCAAGTCATCCGGCCTAAGGGCAGATTACTACTTGCATCAGGGTTTATGGCTTTTGAGAGGCGTACTGAGGGAGGGTTCTGTGTATTGCACAGAGATGACCAGAGACCTAGTGATGTATCCTATAAGGTGTCTAATAAAAACAGAACGGTTCTATTTAAAAATGTAATGAGCAAGTTGAGGGGGTAAAGGAGAAAACAGGAAAAGCAAAATATAGGCTGAAAAAACTTCAGCTTTAATTAGAAAGTTCAAAAATAAACCCAAACATCTGTCTCCATCTGCTCCACTTTGGATCACATCTTCATTCAAATACCTCTGTACTGTGGAGGTTTAAGCTCCACAATGATACATTTTATTAGAGATTTTCAGTAGTAGGCACTGGAATATGTGAACATGGGTAATTCCCATGGTCTAGTTTCCACACCATAATAATAAATATTTTTTCCTGTAATGAAAACATTTTTGGTTACATTGAAAACAAATGTTCCCACTAAATGAATGATCCAATTATCAAAATAGTGTGGGAACTGGCAATGGGAATCTTCCCATTTATAACAACAGAGATTCCTACTTAAATAATGAATTGATTTACTATAATCATGTAGGTACTGGGCCAATGATATCCAGCATGATTCTGTACTCCAGTTACAATGACAATCATTCTTTATGATCATCAGTCATTGTTGACCTCATACCTCCTAAGTACGAAAAAGTGATAGCCCAAGTTCAACAGAAAAGAAGAATGACAGATGAAGTAAGAAAATCTATTGGAACAATTTTTTTTCATATATTAGTAATTGTGGGACAGAGGTTGCGTCAACAGATTGGGTATTTGTTGGCTTCTTTGATGTTCATTAG